CGTGTAGTGGAACACATGATTTCGCTTGTCCACTGAAACTTCCCTCTTCTTTTCTAATCTCAATTGCTCCATAACCCTGACAAAAGAAAAAAACTACTAGTATTTAATTTTTATTATGGAGTAGACATCTCTGTTTTGTTTATAACAGAAATCTGTACCTTCTTAAGAAGTTGTTTATTTTCATGTTGAACGAGAGTGATCTTATTGGAAAGTTCTATATTTTCATGATGAATAAGAGCTCTCTGCAGGATATTAATTAGACGTGGTAAGTAATTAGAACAAGTGCAAAACAGCTCCTAATTACAGTGATTTATATACTGTGATTAAAAAACCTTTTGATTTAATTCTTCTATCTCATCAGTAAGCATTTTTTTCTGCAGAACGTGAAAACTCATGAAATATTGAACACTGATGCGGAAGATTCGTAGAAGTTTTAGTCGTTTTTGATTTGTGAAAACAGAAAACAAAGCATCTACAATCAGAATACAAATAATCTACAATTTATCTACAAAATATCTACAAACTGGGTACATTGAATTTTAATATTCCAATTCCCATTCAATTGTAGCTTAATTGGTATTTTCGACATAATTGCGTTTTTTGCAGAAGATTTTGTAAAAGTTTTAGTTGTTTTAGATTTGTGAAAACAGAAAATAATGCATCTACAATCAGAATACAAATAATCTACAATTCATCTACAAAATATCTACAAATTGGGTATATTGAATTTTAATATCCCAATTCCCATTCGATTGTAGTTTAATTGGGATTTTCGACATAATTGCGTTTTTTGCAGAAGATTTGTAGAAGTTTTAGTCGTTTTTAATTTGTGAAATCAGAAAACAAAGCATCTACAATTAGAATACAAATAATCTACAATTTATCTATAAAATATCTACAAACTGGGTACATTGAATTTTTATATCCCAATTCTCATTCAATTGTAGCATAATTGGGATTTTTGACATAATTGCGTTTTTTCAGAAGATTTGTAGAAGTTTTAGCCGTTTTTTATTTATGAAAACAGAAAATAAAGCATCTACAATCAGAATACAAATAATCTACAATTTATCTACAATTTCTGCAATATGTCTTCTTTTTCTTCTTCTTCGAGTTTCAATCTGAAATTCAGTAAAAATCAAGTCTAATCTTCACCAAAACCCCTCAAAATTGAGATATAAACTCCAAACCATATTCCCGATTATTTTTAACAAGACCCAATCCAAACAAATAATGATTTTTGAAAACTCAAATTTGAATTCAAAGCTTTCAAGCTTTTTAATGGCTGTCAATGGTGGAATTGCTGCTCTCTTTTCATTTGCTTTGTATTACTGAAATTTGCGATTGAGAAATAAAGAGAGATGTACAGAGAATGTCGACGAACTGAGCTTTTGCAGAACTGATTTCTACAATTTGATTCGAATTTGTTGACGATTTTGTCTTTTTTTGTTTTGTGACTTAAAGAAAAATATCGAAGAACAGAGTTTTTGCAGAAAAGAGTCTATCTAATTTGATTTGAAATTGAAGATATAGGATTTGCGTTTCAAATTTGATCTGAAGGTCGCTAAATCAATTAGAATATTCTGTTCCTGATTTGTAGCGCGCCTAATTAGGAAGGAATCAGCTCCTAATAATTAGTATTTAATGAATGGTATAATAATTGTAGAAAAACTGTGAACATGGCGGGTAAATATGAAACTATACACATTTTTGGTAATAAGGTTTCATATATGATTTCATATAATGGGTTAACTTGGGCTCAACCCAAATTGACTCATGAGCTAAAATATTTGTAGCCCAACCAATTAATCTCTGGGTTAGTTGGGCGGGTTAGATGGGTTTGGCCTCAAATTGCCACCCCTAATTATGTCTTAGATTTTGTGATCATGTCTTAGATTTAATATCAAATTCATGAGAATCTAAAGGAAAATTTGGGAAAATTATAAAATCTTTCAAAAATGTAAAATGATGATTTGAAGGGCGAATTAGTTTCGGAACTTGATAATTTTTATATGGTTGAACTCGTATCAGATGGGTGTTCGAATTTTGTAAATTTTATCGGGTTTCGAGGTGCGGGCCCGGGGAGTTGACTTTTGACTTTTGCAAATTGTATAAGGATCATAGCTTTGTTAATTGAAATTATTTTCTCTTACATTGTTTGATATATTTAAGTCGTCTTTGGCTAGATTGAGCCGAGCAATGGCGAATTGGTAAAGGAAAAGCTAAATTGAGTATTGAGTTGGCTGAATTGAGGTAAGTGTCTTGTCTAACTTTGTGGGGGGAAACCACCCCTTAGGAATTGAGTCGATTGTGCTATCTTGTTATGTGGAAGCCGTGCACGCAAGGTAACGAGTGGGTACACGGTTTATATGTGGTATTGACCGGTTTAGATTATTTAGTCTCTTCCCATGCCTTTGATTAAATTGTCATAACATGTGGTATCTCGCTGTTAGGCTACTCTACATGCTCTATATGGTGTTAATAGCATTTATTTACCTTTTACTCATTATTTGGCCTTTATATTCCTTGGTTGAAGTCATTGCCTTTCTTATTGTCTTGTTACCTCTTACTCGTTGAGTTCCTCTATGACTCTGTGCATATCTGCTACGTGTCCAAATTGTTGTGATTGTCTGCTTAGTTATCACATGCCTTACATGTCTTGTCATTTTTGAAAAGGTTATTGTGTTCCTTGATTTTTACGTGGTTCTTTTGTTGCCGTGTACTTGTACCCTTGGTTGTAGAAATTCTTATAAATTGAATTATTGAATTGTTGCTGTTGATTTAAATTACGGAAAAGGCCTAAAAATGCCACTCAACTTTCAGAAATGGTCTATCCATGCCATCCGTTAAAAAATTGCTCTTTCATGCCATTGCCGTTACACATTTGGCTCATCCATGCCATTATTGACTAACGGCTCAATTTTTATTTGGCCCATCCATGCCATTACCGTTAGTCAATAATGGCATGGATGGGCCAAATGTGTAACGGCAGTGGCATGAAATGAGCATTTTTTTAACGGATGGCATGGATAGACCATTTCTGAAAGTTGAGTGGCACTTTTAGGCCTTTTCCGTTTAAATTATTGTACGGGGGATCGGGTTGCACACCGCAACAGGTGAAATAAGGGAGGTGGTGAAATCAGGGAGGATATTTATATTGTGATATTGTTATTGTACGGTGGGATCGGGTTGCACGCCGCAATAGGTGAAATAAGGGTGGATTATTATAGCGAATTTAGGGTGAATTATGATATTGATATTATATAGTGGGATCGGGTTGCGCGCCGCAACATATTATGTTTATTGTTATGATATTGATGTTGGGGGATCGGGTTGCACGCCGCAACAGGTGAAATAAGGGTGAATTGATATGGTAGAATAAGGGTGAATTATAATATTGATATTATATGGTGGGATCGGGTTGCACGTCGCAACATATTTGTGTATTTTGTATCCCCTGTTTTATTGTATTGGCTTCAGTTCCTTCATACGAGATTTTGAGAATTCATATTTTCCGGTTTTCATTGTCTTCTGAGGATTTAGTTATTATCATTGACATTACTGCCTTGCCGTCATTGCCTGAGCTCTTTTCTTAGTACTATTATTCTGGTAACTTGATTTTCAAGATGAATTTACTACGTTGAGTCATTACCTCCCACACAGCTACTGAGTTGTTAGTAATATAGTGATTTAAAATAAAGGAATTACCTTGTATGACTTTTAAGTTAAAACTCGCTGTATATTTCAGTATTACTAATTCTAATAATTGTTATATTTTATTTCACTTGATTTCTCAACTTAACCTCCTTAACCTGACTGAGGTTTGTCTTTTACTTAAAAGGAATCGTTGTTAGGCTTTAATTTAATAAAAAATTTATTAACTGCAATAGCTCATTCGATGTTGTATTTTTATTTGAAAATATTATTTTTTTCTTCACTCAAATGATTTCTAAAATAAATTCATCTTTCTCGCTGATTTCCTATTTGGTCTAGAAACTGTAAATTACTTTATGATATATAAATGGAATTTCTTGAACATTTAAATTAGCATTTGACATGGATATTACGTACCGAGTAGCACGTAGATTCTTGTCGTACAAAGTGAGATGAAAAGATGTGGGCACAAGGTGCCAAGTGTGTTTGTGATCTATGGTATGAGATTGTCGAGAATTGGGATTATTGAAATCGTGTATTAGAAACGATTTGATTTGTTAAGTTGACATCGTTTTCCCTACTTGAGCACCTTAATACTTATCTGTATCCCAATCGTGTTGTTGTTTAATTACTTGGCTATTTCTTATTGTCATTCGTGTTCTCCTTGTCGCTACTACTGTTTGTAATCCTATTTCTTTCTGCTATTGGTATTGCTTTGATATTCCTTCCTTGTTAGATTTATGTTATATCGTGCACAAATTTATATGTTCGGTAGGTGTCTTGACCTGGCCTTGTCACTACTCTACCAAGGTTAGGCTTGATACTTACTGGGTACCACCGTGGTGCACTCATACTACACTTCTGCACATCTTTTTGTGCAGAATCATGTACTTCGGATCGAGTGGGTTTTGAGACTTATGCTTGGTGAGGCTGGAGACTTCAAGGTACACATGCCGGGTGTTCGTAGGGTCTGAAGTCACCTTCTACTGCATTTATTTCCATTGTTTCCTTTAGTTCCAGAACAGTGATATATTCATTAGATATAACTACTCCTAGAAGGGCTTATGACTTGTACTACCGGTTTTGGGATTGTAAATTGTATAGAGATTTTTATTTCGAAATTGTTCGATGTTAGTATATATTGTCGTTATTTCTGTTAATGTTAGGCTTACCTAGTTTTAGAGACTACGTGCCATCACGACTCTTTCGAATGAATTTTGGGTTGTGACAATTATTGAGGATAAGAGTAGATTAATATACATAAACATATATACGTACAATAAATGGGTCCAAGAATTAATATTGTATACTCACAAATACAAACAACCCCCCCCCCCCCCCCCCCCCACCACACACACTAAAAAAAATCTATAAATATATTCTTTCTCACACGCAAACATATATATTGTTTATATTTCTCCCCTTAGTATAATTAACGGAGATTTTATTATTGTAAGGGAAGGGAGTGTGGGTCCTATCAATTTGTCCTTTGCTCAATCCTCACCAAGAAACCACCCTTCATCTTAGTAGTAAGGTAAGCTATCAACACTGGCTCCTCTTCACCTTTTTCCAGCACCGGAACCACCCTAAACCGCCGTAGAACTCCGGCGACCACCTTCTTCATCTGCAAAAATGCCATCTCCTTCCCCAAACAAACCCTAGGTCCAGCTTGAAACACAGGATACACGAATGGATCCTTAGGAACAAACCTCCAGTTTCCTGTCCTGACATCCTTTTCCAGCCACCTTTCTGGTCTAAAAGTCTGCCAGTCCTTCCCCCATATAGCCTCCGCTCTCCCCATTGCGTACGGATGATAACTTATTCTTGTTCCTCTCTTCATGAATGTTCCATCTGGCAAAATATCATCTTGCATGGCTTCTTTAGTATCCACAGGGACAGGTGGGAAAAATCTCATACTCTCACATAGTGATGCATGAGTATATGGCATGTCTTTCACTTCATCGTACGTCGAAGATTCATTACTACTCTTAGCGATTTCCTCCAAGATTTCTTTTTCGACATTAGGATTCTTGAAAATCAACCAGAAAAACCATGTTAGTGCAGCAGAAGTTGTGTCCCTTCCAGCCAAGATAAAGCTTATCACAATATCTATAATGAACTCTTCATCTTGATATTGCTCAGAGCTTATTAAGAATCTTGAAAGAAGATCATCACCACTAGAATTAGTCAAAAGTGATTTCTTCTCCTTCTTTTCCTTGATTATTTCCTTAGCCATTTCGCGAATTTGTGTTGCACAAACCTTCAATTTCTTCTCCGATCCAACGTTGAGGATTCTCTTGACCTTCCATATAAACGGAGCAAGAGAATTGAATCTCTCACTACTAATTCGAACAACTTCTTCAAAAGCATTCGCAAATTTTGCCTCGGGAAAAGATGGTAATAAATATGCAGGATCATAACCATAAGCAACCATGCAAATGTTATCAAAAGCAAACCTTTGAAGCAAATCTTGCATGTCAAGAACACACTTTTTAGAAGCCGCAGCCATAGTCAGAATAGGAATAAGACGATCACACAGTTCAATATTTACTACCTTTTCAACGAATTTACGCAAAGATTTCGAGTTAAACTCATGGCTAGCAAGTTTTCTTTGGTATTTCCAAATTTCACCATCAGCATTAAAAATCCCATTACCTAAAAGATCCTTAAGAGTTTCTTTACCAAGATACCCTTTTTGATATTTATGGAAATGGTTTTTGAGAATATGTTGAACATTTGAGGAATTTCCTGTGAATATATGACGATGGCCAAAAGGTCGACGGAGTGTAAAAGTAAGAGTTGGTGTACTTAAAACAATATCAGATGTCCATTGAATCCGACGATTTTTGTTGGATTTAATTGAGAAATAAGAGCCAATAATAGGATATGATCTTGGGATTTTGGTGGACTTGGATACGAAAAAAAGATTGGTTAAAATATTGGTTCTAAAATTGATGAAGAACAAGAAGAATACTAAGGGGAGGAAGTAAAAATAAATCTGTGAAAATATTAGACGAAGATCAAAGTTGAAGAACATTTTCTTCTATTTTATTAACTTTCCCAATACAATTGGTTAAAGAAAGCAAGCTTGAGAATACATGAAATAGAGGTTCCAAATCGTTTGTTTATATAATGTTTGTATATACAACTTTTTTAGAAGACTAGAAAATTTTGCACTAGATATTCCCCACGTTTATTTTTCTAAAATGAGTAGTAGCTAGCTTTTCAACAGAATGCATGTCGACTGTCGACTTCACTTATAGCACGTACTTGGGAATTACATATTAGGGTTGAATTTAATAAATGCGTTCTAGATTTCATGAATTCAAAACACCAAATATATTGTTTGAGAAAAAATTATTGGATTCGGCCGAACTCGTATGGCGACTTATGCTTCCGCTCTTGCTGACAGTATATGTAATTGATGCAATTTAACTTGTTATAATAAACTGTTTTCTAATTTTGTTTTTTCAATAATACTTTTCAAATATTATGAATAGTTGCCTCTAGTGATTCTTTAGATGATTTAATAGAGTAAAAACTCTTTTATATTATAAGTGTATAAAAGTTAAACCCATTAAAATTGCCTTTTGTATTTGAAGGAGATTGGGCTCTGTTTGATTTAGTGATTAAAAATAGTTGATATACATTAACTCCTTAAAAGCAATTTTTAGGAGGATTTTACAAATATGAAGCTAAGGGTTCGGTTACAAGTGCTTGAACTGATAATAAAATAGTTGATGTATTTGATTTTAAAAAAATCAATTCTTATATTTGTTAGAATATTTGTAATGCCTTTATATATAAAATGTGAATTTGAGAGTATTTTTACGTGAAAAAGATTGAACGAAGGAAATGAATATGTAGAAGGAGTCAAGCATCATATTTTAAGAAATAAGGTATTTTGGGAACATTACTAAGGGTAAAATAGTAAAAGATTTGATAAAATCAAAAGTGTTTATAAGTTAAAAAAATTATGAGAAAGTCACAATCTATTGAATAAGATCAGCTCAAGATGGGAGCTCAAAAAAATAAATAGACGCTTTTAAATCCAGTGTGAAATAGCTAGAAGCGATGAAAGGTACATAATTTGTCCAACATTAGTGGGCTTGCTAAAGTGAGATGCGTGTGACGGAGCGTTCAAAACCTCTTAAAAAAGGACAAAAACTAATTAATATAGCCTCTCTTCTATTCCCTCCGTTCTCATTTAATTTTGAGGATAAAGTTTTGCATAATCCTTAAGGAAAAATTAACTAGGAATATAATTTGACTAATTCTTTAATTTTTATTATTTACGTGACTCTTAATTATAGAACAATTAATGTTAAAGGCAAAATTAAAAGAAATAGTTAATTTTCTTTTAATTTTTAAAATTGACAAATATTTAAAAATAATTATTTTTAATATACATGACAACTAAATATCACAATTCACAACTAAATGGGAATAGAGGCCGTATCTTCGACAGAGAACGTGGACAATTAAGCTTCTGTATTGGGATGTTTTATCACGTGGAGAATGTTGTCACTTTTCGCTTTGCCATTGACAGCTCACAGCTCTAAGTAATGTGGCCATCAAAATACGGCCATCAAATGCGGATGTAGAAGCAGCGCCGCATTATTCCGAACCCGTAATTTTTTATGCAGAACATAAATTTATATGTAAAAAATCATTAAAATCATAGCAAATATAATAAATTTGAACTCATAAATTGAAATTCTGTGCATTAATAATGTAATCTGAAAAAGATGGATAACAGCCTACTGTATTTATTACTCCTTATCCTTTGGTTTAAGTAAATTTATGCATAAAAGAAATCTCTGCTGTGACAACATTAGCATAGCCATAATGTAGAGTCATATGCTAAGACTTTAGTATGCTCTTCTCTTTTATTCTGTGTTGTTATTTTATGTATAATCTTAGTATGTGTTATCAGTACGAAGTCGGGAATTAAGGGTGTCTAACGGTATTCAAGATTTGATATATCTATAGAGAAAATAATACTTAGTATTTAAGGGATTGTTACATAAATAGCTTGCCAGATTCAATATTTACGTTTTTTAACCGGTATACATAAATTATGCATTAATTATTTATATTTATAAATATATTATACATGAATAATACATATATTATACATCTGGCGGCTATTTTTAGTTTAAGAGATTAAGTGAACGACTATTTGGGTTAATTCTCCTATTTAATTTATATATACAATATAGCTTTCACGTGAAAGGTATTCAAGCGACTATCTTTGAGGGACGATAACTCCACATCTGTGTATATTCATTACATTAGAGCCACATTTGACTTATGTAATATAAATTTTGGGAGAGAGGTGTTCTATCTTTCACGCACTGTAACTCGGCCTCTGTGTATACTCATAGTATTGGAAGAAATTCAAATATAGCCAGATTTACAAGTGGTCATTCAAAAATAGTCACAGTTTCAAAAGTAATCGAAATTTAGACACTTTTCATGTAAAGATAAATCTGAACGAAAACAATATTCAAAATCCGAAAATACTCCAGCATAATATACTGGAGTTCCAGTATAATATACTGGACTTCCAGCATAATATACCAATCCAGCATAATATGCTGGAACTTCATACACAAGTGCTCCAATCTCCAGTATATTATGTTGGAACTTTCCGCGTGTTGGAGTTCCAGCATAATATGCTGGAAGTTCATACACAGGTGCATCGATCTCCAGTATATTATGCTGGAACTTTTCGTGTTGCAACAAATACAGGCTATTTTTCAATGACTTTGTAAATGCTGGCTATTTTTGAATGGTCAGTCCGAAAGCTGGCTAACCAGTGCTATTTTTACACATTGGAATCACATATGGTCCATTCGTTTTGTCCTAATATTGCAAGGGCTTAGTGCTTTTTTGATCCACAATATTTTGGGATGCTTGTACATTCCACTACAAAAGCCTACTTGCTAAAAAAGGTTTAGACTTTCGTCCACACTATAATAGGTTTCCAATATTATAGAAACAACAAGTACTATAGTTCTCTTCCACTTGATTATAAAAGAATTAATCACTCATTTTGTAATATGAAACATGCCAAATATGTTACATACAATAATTGTGACGAATAATATCATAATGAAATTCAATTAAGCTAATCACCACGCATATTTATAACGTACTACAGCTCTCTTCCACTTAATTATAAAAGGAGTAATCACTCATTTTGTAATATAAAACATGTCAAATATGTTACATAAAATAAATGTGACGAATATTATTATAATGAAATTCAATTAAGCTAATCATCACGCATATTTATAACGTACTACAGCTCTCTTTCACTTAATATTTTTAAAGTATCACTCGTTTGTAATATGAAACACCCACTACCAGAAAATGTGCCTATGGCAACAGTTATTTTAGCAAACGGTTCAACAACCGTTGTCATAGAACCTGTATGGTAACGGTTATAACCGTTACAGTAGCATTTAGGTGATATCAACACACTTTAACTATAGAACCGTTGCAATTGTAAAACAACCGTTGCCATAGATTCATCTGGCGCAACGTTAATAAGAACCGTCCCAATAAAACTATCTACGGGAACGCTTTCGTTGTAAAAATTTCTATTGGAACGGTTATTCCCCCCCCCCCCTCCCTTATTTTCCCTCATAAATTTTATTACACCCGCCACAACAACCCCTATTCATTTTATTTTTTAATAATACATATTAAATAAAAAACTTTTTTGGCACTTTATTTCCCATTAACTGCGATATAGGCAATACCCCCAAATTAACACCGAGTCATCTTCTTCTTCACTGATACCCGCCCCCATCTCTCTCTCTCTCAAAATCTTCTTCTTCTTCGATGACCTAAGTCATCTTCTCAAAATCTTGCTAAAAACTCTGATATCCCCATATCTCTCTCTCTCTCCGATGACCTAGGGTTCGTTGTTTTCGTGAGTGTCTGAACAAATTGGTTTTGGGGTTTTATTCTAATTGGTGTCGAGAAGTTGTGGCTGAAGCTTGGGTTCATTTGTTTGGTGTCGACAATCGAATTTCTGGTGCTGAAGCTCGAAGAACAGCTTCAAATTTCTGGAGTTGAGTACCTGAAGCTGTTGCATAGCCTATGCACTCCTCGACGCATCAGGTCTGATTTCTCTACGCTTAAATTTGTGTCATTTTCTGGATTTTGATGGATTTGTGATTGATTAATCGAATAGAAGACTGAACTTCATTACTATTATTTGGGATCAATGGATTTAAATCTGTGAATTCGACTCACCTAGTTTAAGCTTGATTTTTTTTAGTATTGAACTGAATTCGCAGTTTGACTTGAGGCTGCCATTGGTTGAAACTATTTGCTGTAAAATTTCTTGGAGATTGTTGAACTGATTTTGAAGTGTTCCATAGCTACTAACTTAGAAGAGATTAGCCATCTACTAAACTATGCAAATGTTGTTATTTCTGTTCGAAAATCCTGGCTGGTGACCTAAGAGACGGTTATTAGAACTGGCTGAGAAGGAATATGGGAAACATAAGGCCATATTGAACGATGTTATACTGTCGACAATTTGGAGAAAAGGAACATCTAATACTTAGAAGATACTGAATCTGTAATATAGGCACGGGAATATAGATAGTTGCACCTGTTAGCTTTTGAACTTAATTTGTATGAAGTATATAACTCAGACATTCTTTTTAGTTCCTTCGTAACATTCAAGAATTCTGTAGCACCTCATGATTGTTTTGCCAACTTTTGTAATTCAAAGAATGTATTCATATCAGCATTTGCTTAGTGCTACGTAATAAAGCTTGATTACTTATCATAGTGCTTCGACAATCAATATTTTATAAGTACTCTTGTTTCTAATATTGCTCTTTTTAATATATTTTTATTTGTTTTTTCTTTAGCATTTTATTCTAATGCTTCAATTTTGCAGGATTTTTGGATCTGGATCTTGTGATATTGTTGCACTTGTTGATAGCAACCGGTCGAGGCTTGAATCGATAGATAATTGAGGTACTGATAAAATTTATAACACTTGTCGTGTTACATTCTTGTCGTGCTATAATACTTGTAATTTGAGATCACTATTCAAGTGTTTGCTCTCAAATTCCTCAAACTAA